GATTGCAGTTTAGCCCCTCCTTTTTTAATGAAAATCAAGTGAGATAAAATATAGTAAAGTGCTCTATAAACTGTAAAATGCATTACAATGGATACTGTTATTTTTATTATACTACAAACTTGCTTTCAGATAATTTATTTCTAAAAACTTTCCAAAATATTTTACTTTCCTGCCTTCTTAAGCAACATATATGGAATACAATTTTCCTGTATTCTCTAATGGAGATGTATAATTATCACAGTAATTGTGAGATTATGACATTTTACAAAGGTACCGTCTGCAATATCTTGCCCCTGATAATGGCTCCACATTGTTACATTCTTTTTGTTGTTGTTGTGATGTTCCTTCAGTTCTTTTATCTGTAGTGTTCTATCCTCTCACTCTGTGAAACTGTCAAGTTGGCTTTTTTCACCCCCCACTTTGTTCTCCTCCCTTCTTTTTCTTTCTAGTTTACTACTTGGGTCTGTGATAGTTTGGGAAAGGAGATAAACAATCCCCTTAGTTGTGTCTAAACAGTAAATTGGTCTGGGTAAGGATCCAGTAGTTTCCTCTAAGTTTTGGTGGATGTGTTTTATTATACAAGTTTTCGGAGTTTATATTCAAGCTACTAAATATGAACTTACGGAACAAGTATATACTGAGCGGCCAGTGTGTTTCAGGTACTTAATTATACAGACGTAGTCCTTGTCTTCAGGAAGCTTACAATCTACTTAGACAAACCTAAAACACATGATTAGCCAAATATTTAATCAGACTGGATAGGTGCTATGGAGAAGAAATGCAGGATGCTCTAAGCACACTTACAACAGGGCACCTAAGCTAATCTAGGAAGGCTTCCCATTTCTTTTTTTATTTTTTATATGTTCAGTTAGCCAACATACAGTGTGTCATTAGTTTTTAATGTAGTGTTCAATGAGTCATTAGTTGCATATAACACCCAGTGCTCATCACAACACATGCCCTCCTTAATACCCATCACCTGGTTACCCCATCCCCCCACACCCTCTCCTCTGAAACCCTCAGTTTGCTTCCGGGAGTCCAGAGTCTCTCATGGTTTGTCTCCCTCTCTGATTTCTTCCCATTCAGTTTTCCTTCCCTTCCGCTGTGGTCCTTCGTGCTATTCCTTATGTTCCACATATGAGTGAAACTATATGATAATTGTCTTTCTCTGCTTGACTTATTTCACTTAACATAATCCCCTCCAGTTCCATCCATGCCGATGCAAATGGTGGGTATTCATCCTTTCTGATGGCTGAGTAATATTCCGTTGTATATATAAACCACATCTTCGTTATCCATTCATCCGTTGAAGGACATCTTGGCTCCTTCCACATTTGGCTATTGTGGACAGAAGGCTTCCCATTTCAACAGAGACCCAGATGAGGGGGGGAATTACGGGTGCCAGATGAAGAAAACAGTGTATAAGGAAAGTGAGTAGTGCTCAGAAAATGTTTCCAGAATCTTCTAACTAGGTGAAATGGCTAATTTTAAAGACCTCTTAATAAATGGTTAGCTTACTACATAATTTCTTTCAAGGAATTTTAAAAATTCCTTTGATGATTGGCTGTATTTCAACTTACTTTCACTTGCTTCTCCTTCTCGAACTTGGGGGAATTCTCTAAATTCTCAATGCATTTGCTATTTAACTGTGGAGTATGGCTCTTCTGGAACCAGCCACTTATGCTGCCTTCCCTTGAGGACAAATGTCCAATTCTAGGCTGTACTCAGCTCTCAGTCTGATTGTAGAACTCCCACTGATGGCAGTGGGCGCCGAGCCCGTATATCTAGGAAAGTACCCTGCCCTCTGTGTCACTGTCAGCCTCCTCTGGCACACAGCCTGGAAGCCCGAGCATCCGTGTGAGTCTCTAAGGAAACGTTGCTCTCGGCGGTGCCACACTAGCAAGAGTGTGAATGGAAGCAGAGAAAATAGATGAAAAGGAAGGGCATGGCATCAGGACTAGCACCCGTGATTCTGCCAACCAGGCCAGTAGGAGGAGGGGTGGAAGGAACTGCAAACTTTATTATTTTTTTTTTCTAAGACTAGACTCTCTATTTCATATAATCGGCAACTTACAGCCACAGATTGATTTTTAATAATTACCATACTCCCTAACCTATGCAAGGCCTGGGCAAGAGTACAGATGGAGGCCTGAACTGGGGACAAGCCCTACCCCCTTCCCACCGCCACTCCGTTCAGGAGCACAAGGGGCCTACTAAACGTCTGTGCAGCCTCCATCTCTCGCCTGCCCCCACCCCAGACAGCCACACCCTTAGGAGAACTGACCCAGGGAAGAGGCCCAAATTGGCCCTGGAAGCGGGCTTCAGGCCATTTGGACAGGGAATTTCTGGAAATCTCTTAACCACTCACTAAACTGTACTGCCCTTCAATAATGGGGAAATTCATAATGGTTTGAAATTGAAGATGCGTGGGTTTTAAGGATGAGAGAGGGCTGTGCAACTTTTAAAATGTGCTTTCAAGTCAGTGCTTCTCAAACTTAATGTGCATGAGAATAATCCAGATATCTTGTAAAAATGCAGATTCTGAGTCAGTAAGTCTGGGGTGGGGCTCCAGATTCTGCGTTTCTAACGAGCTCCCAGGTCCTATCTGTCTATAGCCCACACTCCGGGTAGCAAGGCCTATGAGAATATTAGTGGTTTCAGTTGTGTATGGGTGTGTTTGTGTGTGAACATGCTGTTATTTGGGGGTGGGAAGTTTTAATACTGAGTGTAAAAAGGAAAATCATACGGCAGCCTGAGTTTAAAAGACACAGCTTTTAGATTTATCGTTATTAAGACTCTCGTCTCCGATGAGATCCCAGACAACAGCCTCTCATATCTATTCCTCCTCCTTATTAATCTGATATCAGTGATGTCACCGAGTCTTATCTTTGAACTGGGCTCTCAAGTGTCTCTGCAGCAGCCGTCTAAAACCTTACAGATTGCTAAGGTACGTATCAGAGCCAATGGAAGACTAAATATCTCTCGGTGTAGAAAAGAAATTTTGATTAAATTAAACAGCTGTCATCTCTGAAATTTCCCTCTCTCAGTCATTTCCTGCTCTCAACAAGCTCTTGTGTGTTGCTTTCTTGGATGGATGCTGCTCTTGATACCCTTCTAACTACTCACGTTAACTAGGACTTGTAGCATGGAACTGATCGATACTTAAGAATAGCTTCCCAGCTAAAACGCCGTGGCACTTGGCTTAGAGAGATTTTACTCTGGTAGCTTCTTTTCCATAATAGATGCCACAGGTTACACTGCTAAAGGCAGGTTTAAAGCCATCACGAAAGTTGTCACTTTTCGTTTTACTTAGATGCAGTGCCATCTAAAGTACATACGTTTTCAAAAGCAACTTAACCTCAGTGATCAAGGTCCCCGGACTGGTGAGACATGGCAATTTAAAAAGGTCACATTAACGAAGATTACATAATGGAAAATTGACTAATGTTGTAGGGATAAATATATTTCTAGATTGTGTTAGTCTCCATTTTTAAAATAAAATGTGAAATATTCTGCTGGGGAGTGGACTAAAGCCTCGCCCTGAGAATTTATAGATTATTAACTGAAATGGCAGTTTTCTTGTTAGCCATGATCAAAGTGATTTGGGAATGCCTAAAAACATGTGAAAGTTGATTACACATTTTATTACTGGCACCACATTGACTGGCCACCCATAGGATGGAGCAATTGTGACTGTGGATTAGTTCCAACTAGCCTCGGGGAAAGAGCACACTGAGTTGAGACCTTTAGAAAGCATTTATTTGCTTGCCTCATTTAATCAGGTGACTTTTATAATTTTCCAGCTTTTACCCTTATTTATTTCACATAATGAGAGAGAAAAAATATCTTATTTCTGTACTTTAAACAAAAGATATCCACCCTTCAAAATTTCATTTCAAGACACAAACACCTCTCTTTTTTCCAGAAATGTATCTGTTTTGTTTTTCAATGAGACAAAGACATCCTTAAACAGAGGAATTCTACTTGATCTTGAAGTACCCATCATTTGTCTTCAGAGTCACACTTACCTATCAAAATCTTATCCATGTTTTGAAGGCCAGTAAAATACCTTCTCTTTTAGGAGATCTGTATTCCTCTAGTCAGAATTACTCTCTTGTTCTTTTGTATTCTGACGGCAGATTTTATGCACAGGTAATAATAAGTCCTTTATATAATCTTTGTGGAGTGCAACTAGATATGTTTGGTACTAGAAGGTGAGCTCCTGGGGAACACTAATCAGTATTTATTACTTATTTCTTATTTAATGTATTTATTTAAATGTATTTTTATTGTTATTTTTCCAAAAGAGCATAACCCAGTGCTTTCTCATAATAAAGGTATAGTGTATAATGCTTGAATTAAATCTTTCTAATTGTCAATGACTATGGATGAGTGCATTGTGAATGAATTCATTAAGATCACCCAATCATCATATTGACTTTTTAAGAAATCACCTAAGGTAGGGGCGCCTGGGTGGCTCAGTCGTTAAGCGTCTGCCTTCGGCTCCGGTCATGATCCCAGGGTCCTAGGATCGAGCCCCACATCGGGCTCCCTGCTCGGCGGGAAGCCTGCTTCTCCCTCTCCCTCTCCCCCTGCTTGTGTTCCCTCTCGCTGTGTCTCTCTCTGTCAAATAAATAAATAAAATCTTTAAAAAAAAAAAAAAAGAAATCACCTAAGGTAAATGATTATTATAAAGTATTAGAGCCCTGGCAATAGTTCAAAATTTAATATTTGAATACAATTTGGATAAAAGAAAATCACAGTTTAAAATATGCTTTGTGTCTAATGAATCTCTTTAATATGGAAATTTTAATCATTTAAATGGTGTTTTTCTTATTTTTAAAAATCCATGGAGCATTTACCTCTCTTGTCTTGAAAATAAATAGAATCAAGTATACTCAATGTATAGCTCACAGGATAGCTGGTATGTCAAGATACCTCCATTTGCATTCCAAATAGTATTTGTAGTTTGCAAAATAGTGTACTACTCAAACTAACACATAAATAAAAAAACACATCCAATGAGCATTTCTGCATACTGTTTATTATTGTAGGAAACTAAATAAGACAGGCCAATAGAGAACCAGAGCCAAAATTAATGCTTAACCCCCGGCTCAAGTTTTAACTTTCATTTATTGCAATAAAATATATGGGTTTATATATTTTCTTTTCTGCTTTCCTTTTTCTTTTAATGGGTGACCTTGGCAACTCTTCCATTTTCCCTATTTTTAGAAAATTGTTAACAAGTCCACAGGCATCAGAGGAAATATACTCTCTGGAGTATTAGAACTCAAAAAATGGTAAGATGATAATCTACTCCTTTAATTCAGAGAATTTAAGGAGTGGCATGAAGAGGATTTCAGATGAAAAAAATATACAAATTAGTCATTTAAATTCAGGCACTGAAATGAGAAAAACTTGGGTTTACTGACCAGTTCTCTCACTTACTACTTGAATGACCTTGAGAAAGATACTTCATCTCCTCCAGGTTCAATTCCCTAATCTGAAACAATGGAGATGATAACAAGACCTTTGCAGGGTGGTTGGAGGATTCTAACTCATGTAAAGCACTTACCACCGTGCCTGGCACAGAGCGCATCCTGAAATCGGGGTGACGTTGTGTGGTGGGAAGATCTCGCTCCTGACAGCCAGACCTTGCCATCCATCAGCTAGTCAGGCACGTGAGTTCCTGAGCCTGTTTGTCTCTTCACTGACTGTTTCTGTTTTTGTTTACTCCCCAGCAAAAGGGGACACCACACTGTAACAATTAGAAGAGAAAGTGAGAACCCTCAAAGTCAGAGAAAGAAAATCAAAGCAAAGACTTAGTCATTAAATCTTCCAGAAGGAAGGAGAAAGAGGAGCTAAAGCTTGATGGATTACATTCTGAATGCAGTTTCTTAAAAGGAATTTTTTGTGGTAAGGGACAATGGAAAGATACCAAGTTACAATACAAACCAAAGGGCAAGCCTTATGGAAATCAAAGAAAGTGACACTAGGAGCACATTGTAGAATAAGGGAATGTTTGAAAAGAGAGGGCTATGTATTTACCATTTTGCTTGATCTACATATCAAAAGCATCTTCCAACTGTGTATAGAAGATCCTTGCAGGAAAATGTTTCATATGAAAAATAAAAAAAATAAATAAAAGAAAGTAAAAAAGAAAGAAAGAAGAAAGTGCTGGAGGCCATGTCATTTTTTTTTTTTTTCATCATATTCTCTTTCACAGATTTCAGGCCAGGTGTAACTAGCTCATGCAAACGAATACCTTCCCAATCGCCACAAAAGCAAAAGAAGATACTGGGAAATACAGCATCCACTGTACTTAGAATGAGATAACCTAAATGAGAAATGGAAATGACTGAGGAAAATTAAGTGGCCTCAGCATGAAAAAGCACAGCTTATTTTTTTTTCCATCTAATAACCTATTACGTAATAAATAAAAGTCCACCGTGCTTGTTAGGAAAAAAGAAACTTTTGCTTAGCTAACTATAGAAATATTTTTATTCGATAATATATTTTCCTAAGTATTTTGAATCAGTAATATTGAAATACTGAAAGTCAAATCTCCAATGAGTTGAAATCAAGTGGTTAGCTATTTGAAAACCCATTATTCTACCCATGTATTAGGCCTCATCTCTATAGCAGAACACTTTATGGCAAAAATTTTTCCTTAGCAAAGAGATGTCAATTTTTTACTACAAGCCAGTTAATGGAAGTTTAAGTTTATTTTCTGTTATGTTGTTGTTTAGCAGGAAAAAAAAAATCTAAATTTTTTTTTTAAATTAAAAATAATAATAAAATAGTCTGGTATTAGAAAAAATAAATTATTTCACTCAAAATGAAAGTCCTAACACTCATGAGTCAAATTTGTGATTTACTTTGATTCAAAATTCATATCAGGGTTTTAACAGGGAAATTTCGTTAATGCTACCTGCAGGATTACAGAAAAGTGTGAGAACACACTGGCTTTTAGAAGACGTGGATTCCAATCCCGACTACTGTGTTCTAGTTGGGACACTGGGCAACTGTCTCACCCGTCCTGAGTTCCATATAAAATACTGACATAACTGCCTATTGTTTATGTCACATTGTTATTGTGAGATTTGAATAAACTAACAAATGGAAATAACTCATTACAGTTCCTGAAATATTTGGAAGACAAGAACATGTTAATATCATTTCCCCACAAGAGCACCACTACCTAGACAACTGTTCAAGTTAACCTCCCTCTTCCAATCTATTGTATTAGTTGTGTTAGTTATTAAGTTCTTCCTTTCTACCTCCTTTCTCTCCATTGCATCTTTTTCATCTTCTCTTACACTTCCCAAAGAAATACCCTCATTGCCTTATGCCTTGACTAAAAGGATGACCATGTAATTCACCCTTACTTACAGACTCAACTTCTGCCAACCCATTCTTTATGCAGAATTCTTTCTGGTAGAATAAATATAATTATATTATTTTCTGCTTAAAACTCTTCATGACTTCCTGATGCCCATAAAACAGAATTTAATTACCCTAGAGTGATAAAAGAGGCATTTACGATTAGGTAGTTCAACATCAACTTCTACTTATCATATACGCTATGTAATAAATGCACTATACTATCCTTTCCCATGGATTTCTATCTTTGCACTTGCAGGTCCCTTTGCCTATGATGTATTTCCCACCCTCTGACAGTGGACAGCTATCCCCCTTTAAGACACAGCTGAAATGTCATCTCCCACATGTCACCTTCTCAGAGCACATAGGAAGAATTTATCATTCCTGTAGGACTTATTTCCATTATACCACACCATATTTTATTAATTACTTGTTTACATGTCTGTCTCTACACTAGACGATGAGCTCCACTGTACGCCATAGAGCCAAGAATGTGATAGGTAGTATTTGATAAATATTTACTGAATTAATGACTGGGAACAATAATAAAAAATCGATGATGTTACAATAGGTCCGGTCATGAATTAACGTCCCGATTTTGCAAGTGCCTTCTTATTTTTACTGTATATTTGTAGCCTCTGTCCATACAGGGGACCAAAAGAAATGGAATTGAGATCATTTTTTAGGGAAGTCTAAAAAAAATAAATAATAATGAAATAAACAACTTTTGAGTCAATTATATTGATATTACAAGCAAATGTATCTTTGGCCTAAATTGTCTCACATTGAAATGTCTCAATTTACTCTGCTTGTTTAGACACAGCATGAACACAGAGGTATTTTTATTATTCTTAGAAAACACAAATTTGGGGCACCTGGGTGGCTCAGTCATTAAGTGTCTGCCTTCGGCTCAGGTCATGATCCCAGGGTCCTGGGATCGAGCCCCGCATCGGGCTCCCTGCTCCGCAGGAAGCCTGCGTCTCCCTCTCCCACTCCCCCTGCTTGTGTTCCCTTTCCCGCTGTGTCTCTCTGTCAAATAAATAAATAAAATCTTAAAAAAAAAAAAAAAGAAAACACAAATTTGAGATAGTCTATTCTTTCCCTTTGCGGGCAAGCACCAAGGGAAACAGGACATGCATGCAACAGCAAACTGATGTTTATATATGGCTTCATCGCCGAGTCTCAAAGAGTTCTCATTCAGCACACTTTGTACCTTGGTTCCCCTTTCTACAAAAAGTACCTCTGCCCTGAAGTCAGTTGGTCTGAACAGCGACCTTTAATTTCTCTATTCGCCCAGGTTGCAAATTATTGAGGGGTGACCAGCGTGTGATCCCACTCACCAGCAGCTGAGTATTTGAGTGCTGAGCACTGGCATGCCGTGAGGTTTGGGGAGCTGAAGTGCTGAAGGTTGGTGCTCGGCAGTGTGGAGTTTTAAAGCCGGTGGCGGCGGCAGCTCAGCCCCGGTAGAGGCTGTTTTCCTGGGGAAAGGTCAGCCATGCTGCAGCAGGGAGAGAATGTGAAGTTCCAAGGGCCAGTGGCCACCATCCATTTGGACTGATAACCTAGGCTTCAACAGTTGGCGTGGAAACGATGCTTACCTTGTGCTGAGATTCAGAGAAGCCATTCTTACCAACAACAGAGCCAACAAATGTGTTTGGCAACCTTTTTCTAGGATCCAGGCACTCTTGGTGTTATTAAATTCATGAGTCTTCTAGCATTGCCCCTTGCCCAAAGGGAGTTTCTCTAATTTTTAATATAGTATAAATTTTTTCTGTTGGGTGAGGGTTTGAGTTCTTTAACTGGAAACTTAATTCTTCCCCAAATTCTTATTTCCATGCAATTACCGTAAACATAAAAAAAAAAGTACCTCTATCTTTAGGATGCTGTGGATTTTAATGAGAAGATTCAATGGCAACTTTTTTTTTTTTTTTAATCAAGAAAATAAGAGAGAGGGTGTCTGGGTGGCTCAGTTGGTTAAGCGTCTGCCTTCGGCTCAGGTCATGATCCTGGGGTCCTGGGATCGAGTCCCACATCGGGCTCCCCCAGCTCTGCGGGGAGCCTGCTTCTCCCTTTCCTTCTGCCTGCCACACCCCCCTACTTGAGCTCTCTCTCTCTCTGTGTCAAATAAATAAATAAAATCTTTAAAAAGAAGAAGAAGAAAAAGAAAATAAGAGAGAAAAGGAAAACGTCTTAGAGGAGGCCGGCCTCAGTAATTAACTTCATTTAGTGCCTAGCATAGTGCTGACAGTGAATAAATGTTCCTTGCTGGTGATGAAATACTAAACATAAGAACCTGTGTTTCCAGTTCTGCACTGTCTTAAAGCTGCTATTATTCAGCATTTATTAGGTACCCACAGAGTCTGAGGCATAAACATGACAAGTAGAAAACACACAGTCCCTAACCTCTAAATTACAAAAGACAGATGCACAAGAAAGTAGGTGGACCTCGAAATTGTTTCCAAATGGCTGTTTGTAGGAGGATTTAGAGAGTAGGAAAACCGGAGGGTGGCAGGGTGGGGTGGACAGGATGGAGTGTTAGGAAATGGGAGGAGTAAGAGGAGTTTTCCTAAAAGGAACAGGGTAGAAGTCAGACCAATTCCCAGAAGTATGAGAGTGAACAGGAGAGATCCACTGGTGATACTGAAGAACCCAAGGGAACAATGAGGGAAGAGGTTTTTCTATTGTCTCTCCATGTCCTCTTTGCTAGGAGGGACTCTTTGTCTAGCTTCTCTGATTGGCAGCAAGAGAAGAAGCATGATCATTTTGAAGTAAGACACTCCCATGCTAAATGAATGGGTTTGCCATTTACTGGCCTCAGTTCCCTCATCTTTAAAATGGAACAGTAATACTTCAAAGACTTGACCTAAGAAGATGAAGCATGTAAATGACCCACACTGGTGCTTTGCACATTCTTCAGGAAGCAAATCCAGAGCCCCTGGACACTCAGGCTAGTATTCTCATCTGTGACATCCCAATTTCCTGCTTTGTTTGCTTTCTCCTTCTCTTTGTCAAAAGGAGTAAGATTATCTTTTAGAAAGACAAGATCAAGTTTAAACAAGCAATATTAGTAAATATGTAGACGGGATTCATGTTAATGCTAGGCTTCGTTTCTTACTGAATTTAGGGCCAGTGACATTTTCAACCTAGTTAGTAATTTCTTTTTGCCAGTCAGATAGAGACAAAAAAAAAAAAAATCACAGTGGGAGCCTTGTAAAATGGCTCTTGGGGCCCTCAAGGGCATTTCTCTCAGTCTTTTCATCAACAGAGCTGGTCTATATCGTAAGTCTTATTTATAAGGAGGCTTTCAGGCAATTTCACACTGCTTTTCTTGGATGCAGCCCCCAAAACATGTAAACCCAAGGGATTAGTAGCGAC